TGACCACTGAACCCCACCTACCCAGATGGTCATTAGGGCAGAGAACCAGTTGTTAAATTATTTGAATCCCACCATTGGTCTAATACTAGGATTTTTTATTTTGGTATGAATGTGGAAGGATTACTGTTACTTCCAAGGACTCTGATGCTGACATTTTTTAAAAACTCACTTCTAATGCAATTTATGGATTCTTCTAAGACTTCTAAGGCTCTCCAGTTTTATGGGATTCCCAGTATTTTAAAACCTTTTGTGACAGCTTGGTTTGGGTTGCATGACTCCCTGCCAGATGTGAAGTTTTCCCTTTGATTCCCTTCCTGACAATCTGCTTTCTTGACCTCTCTTCATTAAGGTTGTCTGCTGTTCAGAGCATTTCTCTGCTGCCTCTGACCGGTTAATTTATGAAGTTTAACTATTCTCACAGCCTCCACATAGGTTTTCTTAGGATATTGTAATTTCATTCAATGTAATCATTCCTTTTTAGAAAGAAAGCCCATTTTGAATGTTCCACAAGATTTCCAACTAATAGTACAGTGTACATTCTATCAGTAGGAGGATGTGTAGCAGTCCATTTATTATAGGTGATGAGGCAAAGTGCCTTTCACAATATTGTACAGGTAGTCCTCAACTTATGATCACAATTGAGACTCAAATTAACAAGGTGGTTGTTAAGTGAACCATGCCCAATTTTACAATTTTTTTTTACCACTGTTGTTAAGTGAAACATTGCAGCTGTTAGGTGACACGTGTGGGCATTTAGTGATTCCAGCTTCCCTCACTGAGTTGGTTTATAGGAAGGAGGCTGGGAAGTTCACAGATAGCACTAACACTTAGACTTACATACCGCTTCACAGTGCTTTACAACCCTCTCTAAGCGATTTACAGAATCAGCCTCTTGCCCCAATCTTGGTCCTCACTTTACCCACCTCGGAAGGATGGAAGTCTGACTCAACCTTGAGCCCCATTAACATCAAACTCCTGGCAGTCAGCAGAATTAGGCTGCAATTCTAATCCCTGTGGCACTACAGCTTCCTTCCTTCTCCTCATTTTCCTTCCTTCCTTCCTTCCTTCCTTCCTTCCTTCCTTCCTTCCTTCCTTCTTCTTTCCTTCACAAGCAATTGCATTTAGACTTATAGATCACTTCACAGGGCTTTACAGCCCTCTCTAAGCGGTTTACACAGTCAGCATCTTCCCCCAACAATCCGAGTGCTCATTTTACTGACCTTAGAAGGGTGGAAGGTTGAGTCAACCTTGAGCCGGTCAGGATCGAACTCCTGCCATACTGCATTACAACCACTGCTCCACTATGGCTCCTCCAAATGGTAACCCTATGACCCTGGGTAACCATGCCATCATAATTACATGCTGATTACCAAGGATCAGAATTTTGATCACCTGACTACGGGGATGCTGCAACCGTTGTAAGTGTGAGGACCAGTTGTAAGTCCAATTTTTCACAGATGTTATAATTTTGAATGGTCACCAAACCAGTGGTTGCAAGTTGAGGACCATCTGTATGAACAGAATAGGGCAGGGGTATCAAACTCAAGGCCCATGGCCGGATCCGGACCGCAATGTGGTTGGATCTGGCTCGCAGAGCCGTCCTGGAAAATGTAAGGAGCCAGCCTGCATTGCTTTGGCCCAGTTTACCCAATGCGAAAAGGAAACATGCCAGCAGTTTGGGGAGTGGTGTCAAGCTGGCTACGCCCACCCAGTCGGCCACACCCCCATCCCATCCCGAGGTCAACCACAGCCCCGATGCAACCCTCAATCAAATTGAGTTAGGGCAATCTTCAACTGGCAATGGACAGTTATTTGGGCGGATTCTGTCGGGGGGGTCAGCAGTTGACGAGCAGTTTGCCGTTGATCAGCAGTTTTGTGAGTGCCCCCTCTCCCCCTGTAGTTGAGCCATTTTTTTACCACTAAGATTTCTCTCTCTTTCCACAGGTGCCTCTCTGCTATCGCATGGTAGGAGGAAGAGGGCATTTGCTGAGGACTCCGTTTCCAAAAGGTTGGTCAAACAAAAGGCAGTGGAATCCCAGCGAGATCGTATGGTGAAAGCTTTGGCCGAGCTGCTTCAGAGGACCAAAGGGACTCCAGGGAGGATAGGCCGGCAAGCCTCATCGGGTCCAAAAGTGCTGAAGGTGCTTCCTAAGCAGACTCAAGCTGACCCAGAACCTGCTGACCCATTAAAAACCACCGCTCCTCCCCTCCTTCCACCACCGACGGAGAAGACTCTCAATTCCACTGCCTCACCCAGGCCACGAGGCCGGCCACGTGGCTCCTTCAGGAAGAAACCGGGTACCAGACCTCCTCCCAAGAGCACCAGCACCTCCTCTTCCATCCCGGAGCCGAACAATAGCATACAGCTGCCCTCGTCGTGCGCAGAAGAGATCAGCGCGTCTTCTGAACCGTCCGAAGCATTGAAGAAACCACCGCTCATCCTCAAGTTCTTCTCCAAAGCCAGGAGGCATAAATCTGGCCAGTTGGTGGTGACTCACGTCCGGCTAAAGACCCACGGTCACCGAAGGGGCCGGAAGAGGAAGTGGAGTGTGGTACCTGAAAAGAAGCTCTCCCCGCTTCCTTCGGAGGCCGTCTCTGAATCGGAAGCGGTTTTGTCGGAACCGGATACCTCTGACCCCGAGCCCAAACAGAAGGAATCCCCCGCTCCACATTTGCCCTCAGAGAACCCTGCCCCCGAAGCGTCTCCTCGGCCCAAATCCCCAGTCTCAAAACCAGAGCCACAACTGGAGGACGTCGTCCAGGAACTGCAGCCAGCCCCGGAGACCCTCGTCCCAGAACCGGACACCTCCATCCCAGAACCAAAGCCTTCTGTACCCGAAGGTGATGCTGTTCCTTCGCCCAACCAGGTATCTTGGCAACAGGAGCCCCAGCAGCCCTGTCCGTCGAGCGACGGAGCAGCCTTCCTTTCCGAGAAGGGGCCTTCTAGGGTTGCCCTGTCTATAAGGGCACGGTGTTTGAAACGGGGCCGTGGGCGGCGCGCAGCAACTCAGCCGTTGCCAGGCAAGGTGAGGGAGGATGCCGGGGGAACAGCTCAGCAGTCTGGTGTCGCTGGCTCTGAGGAGGTCCCGGCTCTCAAGACCACCTTCCTCAAAAACATCCGTCAGTTCATCATGCCGGTGGTGAGCGCCCGGTCGTCCCGTCTCATTCGGACCCCCCGCCGCTTCATGGATGAGATTCCACAGAAGGCAACCAAGCTTTTGGAAAGCCCTGTCCCTGATGGGGCTTTAGACAAGCAGGAAGCTTCTCTGTTGCCATTGCAGGCCCCCACCCAGCAGCTGAACCCCTCAGTCCCCGGTTCTCCAGAAAAAGACCCCTCTAGGGCCCCTTCCTCCCCATCTTCCCCCGGCGGGCTCCACATAACTTCCCCGGCCTCGGCTCTGCGTGAAAAACGGCGGTCCATCCTTCGGGAGCCCACATTCCGGTGGACCTCACTCAGCCCCACTTTGTCCCCCAAAGATATGGGCAAGGCTCTCTTTCAGGTGCCCAGTGAGGAGGCATCGCTTGTGCCCAGTGCGCCAGCCCCTGTCCCTTCCACCCCGACCAAGCGCACTCCCTTGCTACGGGCCCCCCAGTTTACACCTAGCGAGGCGCACCTTAAGATCTACGAGTCCCTCTCGGTGTCTCCCGAAGAGTCTGACCTGGTCCCAGCTTCCCCCGAGGTCAGGAGGGAGCCCCCAGTGCCTCTGCAAGAAGCTACCTTGCTCTCCAGCGAGCCAGTGGTGACCCGCAGCGGGAAAAAGCTGGTGGGGAGGACCAACCACCTTGCTTTGCCCCACTTCACGGAGGTTCCCAAACCCCTAGAAGCTCAGAGCACGGAGCTCATCACCATGGAGGACGTCAATTCCCCCGGCGTGGTACACAAGCTGGCCATCCGGAGAGTCGTGCCTCCCTCCCCGCAAGTGGAGGAGCAAGAAGAGAAAGCGGCGGACAGTTCGGAGAGCGAAGCAGAGCCGGCAAGCCTCTCTTCGGAGGAAGCGAAGCCCCCCGTGCAGCAGCCCAAGCCCATCGTCACGTCCCTCTCCAGCATGGATAAAGTTTACAGCCTGCTGACTCGTGCTAAGGTGCAGCTGTACAAGATTGACCAACAGAAGCAATTCAAATTCATTCCGGTAAGAGAATACCCTCCAGGTTGAAAGATGTGGGTTTTTGGAATCATGGCAAGGGATAGGGGCACGTCCACAGGGGTAGTTGGGGTCAGGTGCAAGAAATCAGGATCCAGGAATGAGGTCAAAAAGTCCTTGACTTATGACCACAAGTGAGCCCCCAACCCTCTGATGCTAAGTGAGGTATTTGTTAAGTGAGTTTTGCCCCCCTTTTCTTAGCCACAGTTGTTAAGTGATCACATCGACTTAAGATTTCTGAGAACTGAAGTTGTAACGCATGTGGATGTTACCAAGCTGAGGAAAGCTGTTTCAACTTACGTCTTGTCAGGACTTGAGGCTCCCATTGCTAAAGTCTCGGGTTGTCCAAAACATTCTGATTTCAAAATACTTGAAAGGGATGTTTGAGGCATGAAACAAAGCTTCATAACCTGTTGTCTTGTTCTGCCTTTGGCTCTCCTAGACCATGGAAATCGGGGTGGGGGGGAATAGAGTAAGAAGGGCACATAAGAAATATGAAATATAAACACACAAATAAATAAATACAGGTAGTCCTCAACTTATGATTACAATTGAGCCGAAAATTCCTGTTGCTAAGTGAGATATTTGTTAAGTGAGCCCCCCCCCCTTTTACGACTTTTCTTGCTGCAGTTGTTAAGTGAGTCGCTGCAGTTGTTAACTTAGCGACACGGTTGTTCAGTGAATCTGCCTTCCCCATGGACTTGGCTTGTCAGAAGGTCGCAAAAGGGGATCCCATGAACTGAGACCGTCATTAATATGAGTCAGTTGCCAAGAGTGTGAATTTTAATTGCGTGACCACGGGCATGCCGCAAAAGTCATAAGTTGAAAAGCAGTCATAAGTCACTTTTTTCAGTGCCGTTGTAACTTTGAATGGTCACTAAATGAACTGTCGTAAGTTGAGGACTACCTGTACAAGTTTATTTCATGCTACCTATGCATAAGAATGTAAACTACTAACAATCCAGGCACATGGGCCCCAGATAAGAGTCAACGGACTTCAAGTGGGGCTGGACTTAGGTGTCTTAAGGGGGCATAGAGACTCCAGACAGATGATGCATTTGACCCCGCCCTCTGGCTCAGCTTGATCCTTTCCCACAGGGGATAGGGAGTTGTGTCTTTCGGGTTGTTGTTGTTTGAGCACAGCACACAGTTCGATTTTAATACCGAGCCGATGAATTACTCTATGAATGCACCCCAGGTTAGAAGTCTTGATATTTGCATTCTCTGTTTTGGAGAACTCTCAAGGGAACATATTGCACATCTGGCACTCAAAAGACTATAGAAGTGGTGCAGAATTTGAAGAATTGGGTTTATTGTCCTATCTTTATTTAAGTTCTGCCCCTAGGGAAAAAAATCTAAAGGTTCTGAGATATTCTGAGCAGTAAATGAGAAGAATGGGGATTGGATAAGCTGCCGCCTACAGTTTGAAGTTGATAGCTACTTTGAGGCTGGCTTTATATTTTGCTCTAAGCCAGGCGTGTCCAACCATGGCAACTTTAAAACTTGTGGACTTCAAATCCCAGAATTCCCCGGACGGCCTAAGAACATGGCTGACGTCCACAAGTCTTAAAGTTGCCAAGGTTGGACCCCTCCCCCCCTGCTCTACACCGTAGTAGCTTGCCTTTCTCAAACATGCTTAATGTGACCAGTGCCAAAGCTAGTGGTTGCATGCACACGGTATGCCATGTATGACGACCATCAATCTTTTTTTAGTGTGTTTTTGTGACATAGACTCAACTCCGGCCATTTGGTAAGCTTATGGTTGGGTTGTTTGGAAAATCCTGTAATTGGATTCCCACAGTTGCCAGGTTGAGTGTGCGATGTGAACACATGAAGGGAGACGTGTTTTGTTTGGTTTTGGCTTGACATGTTGTGTGAATACAGCCCATCTGTTGTTTATTCAATTAGACACAGTGAAGCATCGGGCGGTTTAGCGTGATTTGAGCACGCCCTTGGGACTCGGTGCGCCTGGCCATAGCTGTGTGCACCATGCTGTGTTTCATGGGAAATGACTGGTGCCACTGTGTTGAGAGACTTCTGGAAGGGAAGCTGCCATTGTGTTGGAAATGGGCAGGATTGTTTCGGGAATTAAATATCGAAGGGGAGGGGGTCCCAAACCATGTGGGTTATTAATGCTTGCGTCTTTTTCTCCTAGGGGTGTCAAAGTATCAAAGCCGAGGCCTTTGAGACTCCAAAAATCCCAGCTGAACAGGAGACGCCCGAAGACCTCAACACGACCGAAGACAAAAAAGAGGTTAGAAAACAGGTAATCGACTTGCAGCCCTGTGGCCCTATTCTAAATACAAAAGCAGAGGAAATCTGGGCGCTGTGCTTGATAACCTAGTTATCGTGACCCTGCTTCATGGTTTGTGGTTTAATACTGTGCATGAGCTCAGCCACTCACGGGCCTGTCAAGCGCGACGTGGCTCAGCACGATGCATGGACCCCAGCCAAACCGCCGGAATAGTTTTGATGAACCAGCTCTGCTGCTTGTCACTCATGATAATGAGTGAAATGGAAATGATAATGGCCGTTCTTCCTGCACGTTCTTGACAGGGCCAGGATTCCCCGGTGCAGGGCCCACGGATCAAGCACGTTTGTCGGCATGCCTCGGTGGCCTTAGGGCAGTCTCGTGCGATGGTGCCAGAGGATGTGCCGCGGCTGAGTGCCCTGCCTCTGCGGGAGAGGGAAGAGATTGCCGGGTCGCCCACCATAGAGGGTGAGTATTTGTGGAAGAGATTGGCTAACCACTCTACTTGTGCCTTCTGGCCTCCCTTTGTCTCGCTGGGTAAACCTGTCTCCTGGGCAAATTGTCTTAATATGTAATGCCTCCTAAGCACATCATGAGGCAAAACTTTTATTCAACCTTGGGGGGAATAAACAGAAAAAGACTGGAACATCTATGTAGGTTTTATTTTGACCAGATATATCTGTTTGTTTGTTTGCTTGTTTAGTTTGAGGGGGTGGAGGTGTCAACAAGAGAAGAAGCAATATCAAAATACTGTATTTTTCAGAGTATAAGACGCACCTTCCCCGCCCTAAAAGAGCATGGAAGTGTTGGTGCGTCTTATACACCAAATACAGCCATTTTTGGCCTCCTGAAGGCCTGCCCCTGCATCCCATTTTTGGTAAAAATGGGCCATTTTTTGCAAAAACAGGCATTTTTGCCTTTTCCCAGCCCCCAGTAGCACTCTGCAGGCTTCAGCAGGGCTGGGAGAAGGCAAAAACGCCTCTGTTTTTGCAAAAAAACAGCCCATTTTTCTAAAAAATGGAGGCGTTGTTGCCTTCCCCCAGCCCTATTGAAGCCTGCAGAGTGCTCCTGGGGGCCAAGAGGACAAAACCTTTTTTTTTCTTACCTCTTCGAAATCTTGGTGCATCTTATCATCTGAAAAATACGGTATATAGTTTTGGATTCCTCAGTATGTTTACAAATCAGTGTGAAGATCCCTGCAGGTAAAGGTAATGCTGATCTTGTTGCAGGGGCCGTTTTGTTGACGACTTAGCAACTCCCTTTTGAAGATTGAAGTGTATTCATGAAAGTTTTTTGTTGAAAGTGCAATTTGAGCCTATATTAGGAACACCTTGCAAGCAGAGCTGACTCATTTTTAAAAAAAAAAAACAACAGCCAGGCTCTAAGTCTCATGGTCTTGGCTCTTAGTTATATAGGGTTCATATGGGGGTGGGGGGTGGGGTGAGAATCTCAATTCCTCAGCTCATTGACCCCTTCATGAAGTTTCAGACTGTTCGACTCCCAAACATTTATTATATGAAAATAATTCAATAAATACGATTTTAACTTAGTACTGCTAGTACTACTACTAGTAATCAGGACTATTCAAGGCCAGTGTTGCTGGCAGCTGACTGTGCACCTGTGGATAATGTCTCCCACCTTCAGGACTACTGTGTTATCCTGAAAATATGACCTACTCAGAAAGTAAGCCCTAGCTTGCTTTTTACACGTGCGCCCAAAATAAGCCCTTCCCCCCCAATAAGACCCCGCCCACTCCAGGGTGCACGGTAAAAATTAAGCTAGGGTGAGGAGGTGGGGGGCGGGGTTGAGCTGCCCTACTACTTACCTTTGGATAGTTGTAGCCTGGCCTCACACACCTCAACCCATTTCTTCTGCAGCTGGCAAGGCTTTCCTGAAGGCCTCTGTAGCCAATAATAGAGCTCTGGATCGATCCGGAGCTCTGTTATCGGCTACAGAGGCCTTCAGGAAAGCCTTGCCGGCGAAAGTAGTTGATAAAGGCCTCTGACAGCAAAAAGGAGGCTGGGGAAGCGACACATGTAAGAGATGAATCAGTGGAGGACACCCCCTCCCGGAAAATAAGACCTGGTGCCTTTTTTTGGTGGATAGATAGATAGATGATAGATAGATAGATAGATAGATAGATAGATAGATAGATAGATAGATAGAT